TCTTTCCTATCTCTCCTATCCCATCATATTCTCTCGCTCACTGTCCCAGCGCACCTCTCTATCTCTCTTTATACATTTAATCCTACCCTTTTAATCCCTCCTCACCGCATCCCTCGTTAGCTACTGCTGAGGTGCCGCACCGTGATTCAGACAGTTACGGGGCTCCCTTTTCTCTTCGTTTCCCTCTTATAACCACTTCTCTCTCTGTCTGTCTGTCTGTCTGTCTGTCTGTCTGTACATTCTTCTGTTTGTCCACGGTAACGATCTCAGATACGTCTAAAGGCACCAAACGATACTTCAAACAACCAAACTTATCCACCGCACCCACCAATATTGCTTAAGTTTCAGCGTTCATAATGGCGCGATTGTCAATTCAAAAGCAATTATTGCGGATATTTGAGGCACCCTGACGAAACATTGAAGTTTTGCTTGTGCGCGTTTACACTAGAGTAGGCACACACAAGTAGTTTTAAAGATAGTAGCGTTTATCACGCTGCACTGGCACTGCAACACAATGCTTGAAAAGGAAAAAGTTTCCAACACTTTGCTAAGACGACATGGCGGAGGCACCTCCTTATCTACTCTTTATCATGTCCGAAACAGGCGCGCATCCTTCTCCCCGGGCGATCACACCTTCCTTCGTTTCCGGAGATACCTGCCAGGTGGCGCTTGTGCCTAACGTGCCTCGATGGGCTCGTTCGCCTTCAGTACACGGATCAAGACTCTAACGCAGCGCTTCCAGAATACAATTCACCAATTTTCTCACGCAGAACATCAAATAAACGTTTTGTTTACTCTCTGCACATGTAAAACTATCATCTTTCGAAGAAATTTGCAGTGAAACATGCAGATACGGGGACATTGTTTCCTCTCGGGCTTGTTCTTACTTCATCCTCTTCCTCCGGTGGTCCGCCAGCGCTTGCAACAGAATTAATCGTTGTTATATACCTTCCTCTTCAGGGATAGTGGCAATCTGTCATTCATGATTTCAGAATGCTTGCTAATGTGCTCCACCCACTTTTAGTTTTCTAGTTACTCTGATCTCGTGGTTTGGCTTCGCGGTTAGTACCTCTTCTAAGTAGACGTACTCTTTGACATTTCAAGTTCACTGCTATCTATCTCGAAACAAAATCTCTCCCGAGGTTGTACAGTTTTGGTTTTCTACAGGGTAAGCCTGTAGAATAACTATAGCTTCATCATCACCATCATCATCCTGACTACAGCCAATGCAGTACCAAGGCCTCTGCCGTGTTCGGCCAGTCAGGTTTACCCCGCAGACTTCGGCAACCTTGTGCAAATATCCAACATTGGTGTATGTGCATTTTCTTACAACAGCGGGGTACGGCTTGCGTTTGCATGTTTTCGGTGCCTCGAATCTCAGAGCGTCTCTATATTGGACTCACTGGTGTATAGCTGCTACCGCTGCTTAATCGAATTTTAAATGCAAAGCACTTCTTAGTGAACTTTGGCGACTTTGAGCGTATCTATCTATCTAGCTGCCTAGAACATTTAGCTCTCCTGGCCGTTTCGATAATTATATTCACACCAAACTTAGTATGGCACATACCATGACTGTATGGGGAACATAATCGACTAGTCATAACATGAAAATTATGACTTGTATGTCATGAATGTCATGATTTACATTTCATGGTCCTGCAGCTTTCGCGGTTGTTTCGTTCACATGGCATGTTGCAAAACTGGTATGTTATGGCATGATTGCATTGCGAACACATGCAATACTTGCATGCACTTGCACATGCGATGGGCCCTGACATTAAATTCATGAAATGCGTGTGATGTAGCAACATGAATTCATGCAACACTCATGTTGAATTCGCGGCCGTTTCGCCAGCGTCACATATACCCAATTTAGTATTACAGTGCGTGAACAGATGACAAAGGTATGTGACTAGTGTGAACATGACAATCATTAGATGCGTGTTATGTAACAGCATGACTACATGCCGCGCTCATGATGCGCTGGCGGCCGTTTCGCAAGCTTCACTTATAACAACTTTGGTATTTGATTTGATTGATATGTGGGGTTTAACGTCCAGAAACTCCCATATGATTATGAGAGACGCCGTAGTGGAGGGCTCCAGAAATTTTGACCACCTGGGGTTCTTTAACGTGCACCCAAATCTGAGCACACGGGCCTACAACATTACCGCCTCCATCGTAAATGCAGCTGCCGCAGCTAGGATTCAATACCGCGACCTGCGGGTCAGCAGCCGAGTACCTTAGCCACAAGACCACCGCGGCGGGCAAACAAATTTGGTATTACGCGAAGCGAACGAACGACACGGTAAATGACACATGCAAACGGTATAATCACGACATGCGTGTCATGTAACACCATGACTACATGCCACACTGATGATGCGCTCGCGGCCGTTTCGCTAGTTTCACATATGCCAACTTTGGTATTATGCGACGCCAATGAATGACGAAGGTATGTGACTAGTATAAACATTATAAGATGAGATGCGTGCCAAGTGAGAACATGACTACATTCCACAGTCAAGGCACCAATACATTTCAACGTGACGCGGTGCGCGTGTTCGCCGGCGTTCATTTCGTAGCGTCACGCGGCCATTGCCCCGCCAGGCACCCGTCCTCTCATACACTCATTCGCAGGCGCATGCCGCGCTGCGTTGCTTTGACGCATGCGCACTTTAGCGCGTCCGGTGTCCCTCCGTACGAAAATAGGGAGACGCTATGTTGTCTGGGTAACGCATCGGCGCTGAAATGCAAGACTTTCACATTTCGCGCCTGTTGCCGTCGGGCCGCGCCGACGGACGCTGGTCGCGCCTGGCGTCATACTGTAGAATGCTCGCGTTTCGCTCACGTAGCGTCACTGTGCCCCGCGTGCGCACGCGTAGAAGCTACATCGGGGTATATGGGGCCTTTCATGAAGCGCTCCCGGCCGTTTTGCTAGCTCCCCATATAACAAGTTTTGTGTTAGGTGACGTCAACGGATGACGAAATGTATGACTGGTGCAAACATGATAATTCTGACTTGCGTGTCATGTAAGAACACGACAACGTACCGCGCTCATAACGTGCTCGCGGGCGTTTCGCTAGCTCTACGTATACTAATATTTGTATCGCGTGACGTGAATAGACGACGAAGGTAAACGACGAGTTCAAACATGATAGTCAGACGTGGAGGTCTTTTATGGCACCATTTACCTCCACCTCGTAACGTTGCGCTGATTTTAAAGTAACATATCAACATTTCTGATTAGTGCTTCACATATCATCAATTCCCACTCTACGTGAGATCTGCCAATTTTTAGTATCATGCCTCACACATTCCTATTACTGAACGAGCGTACCACTAATAAACAAGTTCGCACCGATGAATTTATTTTGTTGACTCGTCCTTGAGAATTACTTCCCCACTATCATGGTGCCCATATTAAGAAACCTTACAAAACAGCTAGAACTGTGTCTTCATTCACAGTATCCCTATAATTGAGAAGTCCCACAAATGGCCAGTGGAGACATCATTCTTGAACTCCTTGATCAGGTACGTGCAGTTTGAAAAACTAAATAACCTCAGTACCTTTAGTGCCATTGCTGTTTCTATAGCACCGCAGCAATATCCATGATATTTACACGTTGTGTAGTATCGTATGCGCATCCACATACACCTATCTGAGACCAAACTCCGGCAAGGGTGGAAGTAAAAAAAACGTCACAATATATAGCGAATTGAAATCCGAAGAAACAACCAGGAAATCGCCACGAAACGTCTGATACTGACCTTTGCTGCCAGTGAAAAACCACGAAGCATAAAAAAGGACCACACAAAAAAAGCTATCAAACCATACATTACAAACCCTCGCAGATGCTCTAAGCCCATGATTTCGCCATGGCTCTCAGTACTGCCATGGTCGACCTACATGTGCGTAATGTGGTGTCCAAGGTCGTGGCTTAAATTACTGCTACGAAACGCCACACTCCGTGTACTGCGACATACACCAAGGTTTATAGATATGTCCATGTCCGAAGTAGAAGACACAAAAGACATTGTTACACTGAAGACCAACGAAAGCATCTCTTTTAAAGAAGCACGCGGAAGATGCGTTCTTTTCATAGCACAACCTATGCTGAATGTGCTTCAGGGGGCAGCGTTGCATAGTGCGCAGTGTAGCTTAGTGTTAGAATACTGAGCTGGCATCCAGCAGATCTGGGTTAAAGCCCCACTTTTTCGTTGGTGCTAGGTTTGCCATTAGGCCACAAGCACCAGGCCTAGCTCAGTTAAAGAATGCTGGGCTGGCCCCCAGAAGACCCGGGCTTCGAGCCCTACTGTGTCTTTGGTGTTAAGCGTTTTTGTTGATTTCGCGCGATGTGGTTACGGACACCAGCGGCAGACAACTGCGCGTGACCTGAGTTCTGATCTCATAACAGTTTTCGCTGTAAAACGTTCTCTTTGCTGAAGCCCAGATCTGAAGCACTCCTAGTGAATACGCTTCACAGTAGTGAAGTATATTCACTACTGGGAAGTTCAGCCCCAGGCTAGCGAATAGGATGAAACCACTTGGGCTCGTCCAGCCCTCAACTAGTGAAAGTGATTGAAAAACACGTGATTGTAAACGACAAACCGACATTTCAGAGCGTGATGATCACTAAAACGACTACATTTACTAGAAGGATTCAGATAAGCCTGAAGAAACGCAACAAGTGACACGGAAAAAGAGAATGCCAGGTACGCTTGCTATAAACGGACCTGGCACTCTAATTGGAGAAACAGGTTCTCTTAGGATGCTATGAAATAATCACAAGAATTCGTAAAATTAACTGAGTGATAAAATGCGGCTGCGCTGCAAAAAATATATTTGTCCTTAAACCAATACTAAAATATGTTACTATCTTGAATCGTTCGTCAACGATCGATCAGCAATCGAACTCGTCTCCTCGTACTTCGCGAAGCCTAAGCCACTGAGAGAGTACAGCGCTGGTTGTGGCATTTGTAAGCCTAGTTTACTTACCTGCTCAAAGTGCTGTGCGAGCTGCCCTGCTTTCAGCAACTCGCCGCCGAGCAATTTTCTGAGAGCGACCCAGCGAAGGAACGTGGGTGCGTTTTGACAGTTGGGCAGAAAGGAGCAGGCACCAAGGAGAAGTGCCATCATCAGGGATGGCTTCATGGCTGGAGGTGCACGCACTGAGAGTAGAAATGATGCGGTGTATAAATTAAGTATTTCGTAACTACGAGAGGTTATGTTTTACTATAGTGGAATACTTTAGGCCTACCACGTATAAACACTTCACGAGTGTTGCAGGCCTCAGCGTGTTCTTTTTTAACCAGGGTGCGTTAAGCATCATTGTTGCACGTACAACACCAGTGTAATTCAGGCTCAGCGCAAAGAGTTTCAGACAAATATTGTAGGAAGACGGAATACAAACTAGCTCAAATATACATTGTACTTCACGCATCAGAAACCACAGAGTCACAACAAGTAATATGCCACAAGAAGCAGACGGGACGTGTGCTCAATTTCAAAGAATTTTATTGCATTTCCTGAACATATGCTCAAACGGATATGAAGCGGGAGTAGTAAGAAATGAAAAGAAAACGAACACGTGATGTTTATGGCAAAACAATTAAGCTCTTTGCAAGATAACTGAACCGAAGCCATGTTAACACAATTGCTTGTCACCTTAGCTTTCTCGATGCTTTAATTGATACGTAGGGTTTAACTTCCCGAAACCACCATATGATTATGAGAGGCACCGTAATCGAAGGCTCTGGAAATGTCGACCACCTGGGGTTCTTTAACGTGCACGCAAATCTGAGCACATGGGCCTACCCCGTTCCCGCCTGATCGGATATGCAGCCGCCACAGCTGGGATTCAATTCCGCCACCTGCGGGTCAGCAGCCGAGTACTTTAGCCACTAGACCACTGTGGTTGGGCTATCTTCGATGCCTCTACATTTTCCTTGTATTATCACGATGCCGCTATAACAAGACTAAGGACTCATTAAGCAGGGGAAGGCACTGTGGCTTCACGCCACATTTTCTGCAATGGGCAGCAAGTTGCTCATCTATAGCGGCGTTCCTGATTTTCTAGTTGTGCTCGAGCTAACGCATGTTGAGGTGTCTGATCCGGGCGACGTGGTGCCATTCACATTATAGAGAAGTTTGCTAAACCGCGGTTTTTGTGCAGAAGACGTAAGTTTTTCTGTTTCATAGAGCAAACAGGGTTCCGCTTCTTAGTCGGACACCTCAACTTGCACTAGCTCTAAACTTGATTTAGCTGTCGGCCCTTGTCAAGCTGCCACTTTCGGAGAGAGATTTCGCCCCTACAGCTATACATTATCAAATGCATCGATGATTTTGATTGATATCTCAGGTTCAACGTCCCAAAGCCACCATATGACTATGAGAGACGCCGTAGCGGGAGGCTCCGAAAATTTCGACTACCTGCGGTTCTTCAAAGTGCACCCAAATCTCAGCACACGGGCCTAAAACTTTCCCGCCGGAATTGGAAATGCAGTCACCGCAGCCGGGATTCAATTCCGTGACGTGTAGGAAATGGACTGAGGAAAATCAACATCCTCATCAACATTATTATTATTATTATTATTATTATTATTATTATTATTATTATTATTATTATTATTATTATTATTATTATTAGTCTCAGTATAGGATTGCAGTAATATTTTTCTGGCTCTGTCTTGTTTTGCGATTCTCACAACATCATGTGTATACCTTCTTAGTCGAAGCGTGAAACAGGCTTATTTTTTTATGCAAGCCTTCAGCGACTGGGATAATGACATGTTATGCCGTTTGGTTAGGTAGAGCAATTTTCACAGGGACAAGGTGAACATGGCATCCGCTACACTCGTAACTGAATATATTTCAGAAAAATTACATCATACATATGCACTCATGCCCTCTCCTCCCCGCGACAGCTGAATAAAATAACAGTCGCTGCAAACTTATCTAATAGCGAAATTTCTGAACTTAAGAATAAAATTATTGTGGTTCGTGCAGCAACGAGTCTATGCAACCTCATCTATGAAACAAGCTTTCGCGCACACTCAAGCGATAAGCTGAGACTCTGCAGCTTAAACACTTCAAAGAAGAACAACTTGAACCTTGTTTTTTTTTCGTCAATACACATAAGATTGGTGCTGCATTCCAGGCCACAGTATCTGAAAGAGACTTGTGGTAGTTATGTGTGTCATCGTACCTTCGGAATCACTTTAAGGCATTCAAGGTGTTCGTTTCTTTTGTTCTTAAAAACACGGATGCGCTACTAACGTGTTGCCGCATGGTTTCGCGTGCTTTCGCGGGGAAGAGAACGAAGAAGTTCAGACTGAGTCGCTTCTTGGCCTGCTCAACAAGAACTACAGCGCAACGTTGTCTTGAGCGTGACAAGATTAGTAGATCTGCTTTACACGACGACTCACGACTCATCCCATGCGCAAAAGTTCGCCCAGGAGCCGCAACACAGGCCTGTGATAACGCCAGCTCATGGAGCAAGCCACCGGGAACGAGGCCTACCACAACAGATACAGGAACAGCTTATCGACAGAGCGACTATGACTTCACATCAAGGCACCATGGAAACTCCAATGTCGTCAATGCCGATCTACTGCACAGAATCCGCTGAAGCCTGGTCTCTCTCACGGAGACCTGTTTGAGAATTTGAACTACTGGCTCAGCGAGTTTGAACTTGTCACATCGATCAACTACTGGGACGAACCAGTAAACTCCGCAACGTCTACACCCACTTAAATGACGACACCCGAGCGTAGCTCAGCAGAGCTGCTATGTGGCGCGAGTTCCCACATAGCGTCCTGAAGAGCTACAAGAGCCCCAACCTCCGCGAATGTGCTCAACATGCATTGCACTTAATCATCCCGATGCCTATTGAGACTGTCACCATGTACGTGGAGAACATGGCGCCGCTTTTCGGGCGAGCGTATCCAGCAATGCCGAAAGAAAAAAATTGACGCATCCCATGCACTGTGTGGGTATTGATGATATGGAAAGCACAAATGAGGAAGGTTGATATGTCGCATTAAGATGAGCACAACGTTACGAACTTGACGTAAATAAGGTCGTACTTGATTTCCATGCTTGTTATGTTTGAAGGTGTCATTTACCTTAATAGTCTGTTCCCATCATGTAACACGAACTTTCGTAAATGTGGAGCTAGGGCAATGACCATGATTGCGCTGAGCGCAGCATGTATTCGTATTTTACATGACACGCACGTCATGATTATCCCGTTTGGAAGTGTAATTTACCTTCATCGTTCATTCACATCACATAAAACCACACTCAGTATATGTGAAGCTATCGAAAGGGCCTTGAGCGCATCATGGGTGTGGTATTTTGTCATGTTATTGCGTGTAACTCATGTAATGATTGCCTCGTTTGCACCAGTAATATACACGTTTCACCCATTTACGTCACGTAACACCAAGTTTTGTATATGCGAAGCTAGCCAAGCGCCCGTGGGCTTATCATGAGCTTGGCATGTAGTCCTGTGATTACATGACGCGCATATTATGATTATCCTGTTTGCAGCAATTCTGTGCTTTCCTCATTCATTCATCTCCCCACCTCCCGTAATACCGAATTTGGTATTTGTGAAGCAAGTGAAACGACCGCGAGCACACCATGAGCGTTGTGTGTAGTCATGACTCGACGTCACATGAAAATCATCACATTCATGTCATAATTTCCGCGTTAGGGCTGACACTAATTGGCGCTGTGCAGTCATATATCATACCTACCAGTTTTGCGAAATGTCATGTGAACGAAACCACCGCAAGAGCTGTAGACGAAAAAATGTAAATCATAACGTTCATCACATACACATCATGACTTTTATGTGATGATTTGCCAGTGATACTTGTCATACAGTCATGTTATGTCATACCAATTTTGGTATTGATATCATTATCGAGATGGGCAGGAGAGCTAAAAGACATAGGCGTCTAGATTGAAAGATAGATAAATAGCTAGATAGATAGACGGTTCTATAGGCAAATAGATAGACAGATATATAAATAGATAGAATGATAGATAGATAGATAGATAGATAGATAGATAGATAGATAGATAGATAGATAGATAGATAGATAGATAGATAGATAGATAGATAGATAGATAGATAGATAGATAGATAGATAGATAGATAGATAGATAGATAGATAGATAGATAGATAGATAGATAGATAGATAGATAGATAGTAGATAGATAGATAGATAGATAGATAGATAGATAGATAGATAGATAGATAGATAGATAGATAGATAGATAGATAGATAGATAGATAGATAGATAGATAGATAGATAGATAGATAGATAGATAGATAGATAGATAGATAGATAGATATTGTTCAAAGTCGCTAAAGTATGCCAAGAAATGCTTCGCACTTAAAAACCTCCACAATGTGAATTGTGGTGTGAAGGAGCTGCTTTTTCCTGGTCTAGTGCGGAGTCCTCTGAAGATTGTAGCGGATCGAGTTGCTGACTGAAGCGACTACGATGGAGCAAGTACTTCATCAACGGTCGGCTTTATGTGACTGCAACTTAATGCTGCATAATCTCCAGAATTTTCTACAACCTTCGGGCGCAGTGGCATTCAATGGATTTGCGAAATTGTTCGCTCCGTCGTCCGCGAGGACACTGCTAAACTGAACGGGGCGAGAGCCCGGAGATAAGCTGTATTATCTATATGATCCGGGTCTAGGTGCAGCAGGCGCTGCACAACAGTCGCTATCAACCGGTGGCTACCAGCCAACAACCACATCATGTGTCCACAGATGCTTGGAACCGTACATATGCTGCAGCCTTTCGCACTTACATGCGCGTCTCTAGCACTGCATTTGCGATTGAGACAATGCCACCATAGCGATTCAATTAGCACACGCTGTTTCGGACATTGATAGCTGCTATACTCCTCCACGCTGAGTCCGATACCTGGCGCATGTCGTATAGAAGACCCCTCTGCTACGATTGCGGTGAAGCCAGTCACATCTACCAGGAATGCCCGTACCGACAACTTGGACTGCGTGGTTTCTCCAAGTTGTTCAGAGGCCAAGCGAAGTTGAGGACTACTTCAGGCAGCAACGTCTACTTTTCTCCCGGCGTCAATTGTGACCACCATCTCCTCGGTGACCCGGAGCCGTTGGACCA